ATGACTTTGGATCTAACAACAGGTTTGGCAAGTGTTTGCCTAGGAAATCCTGACACCACGCCAGATTTTCTGAGCTGGTTTGTTGTAGAGTGTGCATTTTTTAAATACACTGTAATCACTTCAGACCACGTAATTAGAAACACAAAGCAGTTTACTGAAACATAGTGATATATTAAGAGTTCAGTTAATTACATGTAAAGAAACAAGTCAGACTTCAAAACCTTTACTCAATTTCTATTTTATTTGCAACTGAGGCATGTTGATGGGACTTTGCCTGCTTAACATTGAGTAGGAGGTTCAGAATTTTAACCTGAGGGTAAAATTTTCAAAAGCATTTAAGTGACTGGCTCACTGAAAATCAATAGGACTTTCACTCCTTAGGGCAACATTCTAGAAAGTATGTAGATACCGAAGTCCAGTTGATTTCAGTGTCTATATATACTAAAAAATCCTGCTTTATTGCCCTCAGTTGCTTTAAAATAGAAGTGTTAAATTTCAGTGTCACCTAAGAGCTACCGAAAATGTTACCCCAAGAAACAAGCTGTTATTCTCATGTTTTTTCATTTGTAAACCCCTGGGTTTTTTTAATTTCTTCAACATACTCAGAAATCAAAAAACATGTTTTGAATGATAATAAACCATATCATAGCCTTCAATCTCGTCTTAAAATCTTACTGCAAATGCTCAAGGAGAGGCGGCAATTGTAATTACTGCAGACAGTTCTTCACTCTACTGTAAACTTTTCTAGAATTGCAAAATAAACTTAAATATTTTCCCCTTTTCTGCCTATTTAATGTCTTTTTCGATAAAAGTGATAAATTGCCTCATTTGAAGCCATGGTCTGACCTAAATTATTCTGTCTATATTATGTATATATAAGAGCAAGTAGAAAAAATTAAAATCGTAATAAAAATTCTTAGGGAGATGAAGACGACATAAATCAGAACTAATTAGTCATTCTCATTAATGAGAGTATATGTTATGTTTTCCATTCAATCTCTCAAATGTAATTTACTGAGAAAATTAAAAGGTACCAGTTAGTATAGAAAAACCTCAGTATTCAAAAAAACCTTTGGTTTGAGAATTTGCAGGGGGGAGGCATATCTTGGTTCTCTAACATGTTTTCTGTATGAGCTTTAAAACTATGCTAACTTGTTGCACAACAGCTTACAAGTTCTCAACAGTTGCATTTATTACAATTTTACCACACTTTCAGACGAGTTCTGTTATCATGCTCCAAATCACATTTTATGCTGCTTTGAAGTACATTACTAATATGCTTATTGCTTAACAGAAAATAGCCTGACAGTCATTTCTGTTTTAAGGTGCAAAGTAATAAATGTCAGTTTCTTTTTTGCAGTCATTTATCTGAGCCTGTACTTAAAGTACCTGCCTTTGGAAACAAGTCAGAAGTGCAGTGCTCTAATGGTCTTCTCTTTGGGGCTAACAATAAAAATACAAACCCGAATTTTTAACCTTTCTTTCCGTACAGCCTTCATTCTAACTCTGGCATTTCCCTGTCATTATTAAAATTGGGCAGGCCTGAGTTTTATGAAAAATTGGGAATTCCTTCTTATTTTGTACATGTTCAGTGATCATGTGGTTTGCAGTGACAAGGCTCTCTGGCAGTCATTTGTACTTGTCAGTGCATACCCTTCTATTCCCTGTGGCTGTTTTGTGCTGCTAGACAGGTGTGTGCACTCCGCACAAAATTTTGCCCTTTGGACATCATTATAGTGTCTAAGAAACATGGAGGATGGGATACTGACAGACTTATAAATGACAGTGAAGAAGGGAACTCTCATTTGGGATCTTTACAGAACACATGCCTTGTATTATTCTGCATCCATTGAGAGAAACATGATTTTTTTTCCATCATAGAAAATGGAGAAAGCAAGATTTAAGGCGTAGGTAATTCTGGTTACCATTCTCTCTGAAGAGTGATGGATGGCTTTACCACTGTTTTTAGGTTCATTCAGAAGCAAGGCTGTTAAGATACAAGAAGCAGTTAAGCTGAAAAAAGCATGTAGTTAAATGTAGCACTTTATCCCTGGGTACATGTACAAACATTTAACTTAATCTGGTTAATAGGTTTCTTCCCTGTGCCTTCCCCACAGCCACCTTTCAAGGATCTGACTAGTCCATGGCCTTTACAACATGCCAAGCAGCAGAGCAGAGCTCTCATGGATCCTGTGGAGCACTGAAATCCAGTCTTCTGGGCCCTTCACGCTGAGCCTTCAACCTCTCCAGACACTCAGGTATAGTAAGTTTGCCCTGGCTGATCTTAAGCTCATAATGAAAGATAAAGGAGAGAGAATTTATTGCCTAGGACTCAAAGCATATAGGGTTTTATAGATCAATAAGAACATCCTGAGTTATGGCCAGAGGCAAAAAGGAAGCCAGTACAGACTTCAAAGACCTTGTGTAATATATTCCTTATGGCCAATATTACATATTAAGCACAGAGCTATGTTCTATACAAGCCATTGAATCTGACTAGAATAAGGACAGACTATACATTGTATAAGTCTATTCTGGAGGCTAAAAAGCCTTCACCTTTGAGAACTTATCACAATCTTCTAACTAATGATGGCAAAAAATATTTTAAGTTTAGGAACCTGTTCTGAGCTAAGCATAAAGAAACACCTTTTGACTGTAAAGTTCGTTCAGAAAGAATAATGAAATTTGACCAACCAGCATCCCTTCCCCTCATGTAACTTCTAATGTCTCTCAGGAAGACTCAGAAAAAGTCCAAGACTGCAAGCTCTAGGTTTGGCAAAAGAAAGTATAAATCAAATTAACTGACAAACTCCTCAGAAGCCTGTTTACCTTTCAGAGCAGGGAGGCTGACAATACTGACCAAGGAACTGAAATCACATTTTCATACAATGTTGTAATAAGTGAAAAATACAAACAAAGTTGAAATAATATCTACTCTCAAGTGCACAGAGAAAAAATAAGTAACTATCTTTCCTGTGGCAAATTTGGGGTCAAACTTCTCCTTTAGAAAGGCTGTAAGAGGCTTGTGTTGAAGTCTTCCTTCTCTAAGTGACAAGATCAAGAAAAGAATGTGACAAACGTAATGATTTCATATATTCCAAATCTGAAAGGATGATTTTTAGCCTTCATTGAAAGCTGAAAGGTTGAGGCTTAGCAAGCCCAGTCACAGACCCAGTCCTATAGTCACTTCCAAGGTCCCATTCATTTTTCCTGTGAGAAGATTATATGCCTTATTTCAAAGGAAACAGCTCTCAATGAAACTTCTGATTTTCCTAAGTCTCGTCTAATGTGGGAAAGTCTTTCTGCTAGTAAGAGTCCCCTGACTGGTATCCACAGGTAACTGGAAAATGGGTTCCATGTTTTTAATTATCTTGGCCTTGGTTCAGCACAGAGACTACCCTGCAGTAAGGTGAGATGTGTGAAGATCTGTGAGGATGAGAAAAAAATGAAGTAGGACTTGAGCATCAACAAAGCAGACCTTCAGTTAGCTGCTGCTGAAGAAAAATAATGGTCAAATATTAATGGTCTGTAATGGACATACCTTCTTTGATAATCTGCTTCAGGAAACTTTCTACTTTTTTTTTTTTTTTCCTTTTTAAAGGGCAGGTAAAATGCACATCTCTGCTTTTGTGGTTAAATAGGATGTAGCATGAGAGTGGAACTTAGGGCTTTGTCACGGGTTAGCAATGATCCCATTCCTCCATACATTACTTTGCTGAAAGATCTCACTCTGCCTTGCAACATTCTTGTTATTCCAGAGCTGGGTTGGGCTAGTCATAATAGATGCAGGCAATCAACTCAACTTCCCCACACACAGCTCTGCCAGTAAAACTCACTTCACCTTGCAACACTCCTGTTTTTCCTGTGTCTTTTAAGCAAAGGCTATCAATTTGGCACTTACTGTGGATCTGTCCTTACTCCTCCTGAAATCCAGGGTAACTTTCTAAGTGATGCAAGAGGAAAGTGTTGCTGATACAGACAAATGTCTGCTTGTGACTAGGATGAAATCTCTGCATGACTGAGATTTTGACCCTGACAGTAGAGGTAACTGACCAGTGTTCCACTTCTGCTTTCATTCCAGTAATTAAAACTCAGGATGACTACAGATACCAACTCAGTTACAAAGATTGTGAGACTAGATTCTGACCTTTACATAATGTGCCCTTCTGCATGGTTGTGCTCTTTCCCAAGAACAAGGTTTCCTTTTAATTAGAACACTAGAGCTTTCAATGTTGATTGCTGTTCTTTTATTTAGAAGGAAAATCTATAGAGAATTCACCATGCTGCAGACAAGCATTGGCCTATTGACAGCATCTCAATTTACACTACCATTTGGATTTGGGTCATGTAATTCTATGTAAAATCAGGTAAGTGTGTGACACAGTAAAATGGTACGCCAAAATAAAGATTATTCTTTCCTCTTTGTTTTCTTTATCACATGAAATAATACAGTAAAAATATACGAATGCTCTAGGCAATGTAGGAAACTAAAAAATACTAGTTTGGTGAATGAGCATAGTAAGAGGCTATGAATATGGATATGTTTGTACTAAGGAGCCTAGAGGAGATACTTTTTATGTGTGGTAATACAGAAACACATACTTGTAACTCTGCACACCAGGGAGAGAATATTCCCCTAAATCAAGTACTTTCTCTAGCAGCGCTCCTTGTTGATCAAAGCTGCATAATTTAAAGCATCTAGAGGCAGCTTTAAATTATTCACAGTATTTTTTTTTTAAGTGATTTGGTATATTGCAGACAGTAGTTGTGTAACTACCAGTCTTCTGTAAGTTCTATAAACTTTTGCATCCTTACAGAAACGGCAAGTTTTCTGAAAGTCACATTTGAGAAGATGGGATGGGACTTTGCATAACAGGAGCAACAGAGACTCACTCTAACACCGTGTTAGTCACATAGCGCAAAAATGCCAGGCGTGCAAGGCAATACAGAACGGCAGGACAGAGCCGGCAGCCTCTAGGTCCCAGCCCGAATGCTGCTGTATGGTGCCTAAGAGCTTTCTGATACCCTCAAAAGCCCCAAATAGGAATCCTGCAATTAGTGCATCTAACTCCTCCTCTACTGCAGTCTCTTCTCCTATTGGTAAAAGGTCTTCGCAGGCTCATGTGGGGATCCCACCCCTTTTGTGGGTTTTCATTCTGAAGCTATCCACAACTTTACACCTGAATGAATGCCAAGCCTCTGAATATATAAAGGAAACCTTCAAGACCAATTTCAGAGTAACCCAGAAGAAGCAGAAGAAAAAAGATTTCATCCAGCTCTGTCAGACAGACTGAACCAACCATGCTTCTCCCTGCCATTCACTTCTACGGCTTTCTCCTAGCTTGCATCTTCACAAAAAGCTACTTGGCTTTCAAGAACGATGCCACAGAGATACTTTATTCGCACGTTGTTAAACCTGCTGCAGCGAGCCAAGGCAGCAATAGCACGTTGAATCAAGCCAGGAATGGAGGCAGGCACTACACCAGCACTGGATCCGACCGGAACAGTGAGTATCCTACTGGCGGCACTTCCACCGCTCCCCTCTGCCCATACCCCTCCGGCAGCCCCGGCCCCGCAGCGGAGCGGAGCGTC